TTAAATTACATTTAATATCCAAATTTATACATTTTTACAGTCAACTATCGATTTTAAGCATAAAATACCTAAATTACCCTTAAATAAAAAAGAAAAAAGAAAAAAATTAAAAAAAACTTTAAATTTACGGTTTTAACCTTAAAAATATCCAAAATACCATTGAAACGGGATTTTTTTGTATTTTTAATTTTATTTTTTGCAATGTTATAAAGTTTTAGTTTTATTTTCTCATTAAATTTACGGTTTTAACCTTAAAAATATCCAAAATACCATTGAAACGGGGTTTTTTTGTATTTTTAATTTTATTTTTTGCAATGTTATAAAGTTTTAGTTTTATTTTCTCATTTTTTTAAAGATTGTTTAGAGATCAAAATTAATTATTGATCGAGATAAGAGATAAATTTATATATTAAATTAAATTTATTTGATATATATTTGATGAAATTAAAAACTGAATGTATAGATTTTAAATAAATTTAAAATATGAATATAAAAATGTAAATATCCCTAAAATCATTAATGGGAACGCTCGCACTCAGAAAATGAATGTATAGATTTTAAATAAATTTAAAATATGAATATAAAAATGTAAATATCCCTAAAATCATTAATGGGAACGCTCGCACTCAGAAAACGACAAACAGTATTACGCATCAAAGAATCAAAAAAAAAAAAAAAAAAAAGGGTTAAAGATCAGCAACGTTGAGATCTTTAGAAATTGCCGTTGTACTTTACTTTTGATGTGTGAAAACAACATATATATCCAGGTGTATATGAGAAACTGCATGAGATTATAGTAGCAAAAAAGAAGAAAATGAGACACGTGAAAGAAAAGTAATATGCAGAGAAAGCTGTTAAAAACTCTCAGCCCCACATGCCCGTTGTCACATTAACTGTGTCATGAAATTAACGTATATAAGTTGTTGTTACGCATACTAAATCTTAATTATCATATATATATATATAGAGTGACGGAGCCAGATAAAAATCAATGGGTTAATATCTAAATAAAAAAATTAATCAAAATAAATATCTATTAATGCACTACAAATCAGATATTATCATTATTGGGGTTTATTAATACTAATATAATATAGTGCCTAATTATATATATACAATTTTAAAAGAAAAAAGATCTTGAATGGGGGCTATATGTGGTAATACGAATAATAAATAGGTAAAAGTTTTATTTTAGTAATCTGTGTATATCGAAATATATATGAGTTTAGTACTCTCTGTTTTTAATAATTTCGTACTGATATATTAATTTTTTTTAAAAATCTTTTTTTAGTATCTCAAGGTAAGTTTTTAGGATACAAAAAGTTAAAATTACTTTTATTATTAAATATATTAAAAAAACTTTTTTTTAAAAAACCTTAAACCTGCAATCAAAATTTTTTCTTCATGTTTGGGACGCAATGAAATTTAAGTGTTTAGTTTCAGGTCTAAGGTTTTTTAAAAACATTTTTTTATATATTTAATGATAAAGATAATTTTATCTTTTTGTGTCCTAAAAAATTATCTTAAGATATTAAAAGAATATTTTTTAAAAAATTGAGATACTGATACGAAATTATTAAAAATAAAAAAATTAAACTCATATTTTAATATAACACAATATATCAAAATAAATCTTATCCAAAGTCAGATGGCCATGTTGGATGAAATAATATTGTATCGTCCTATCCACATTGGCAAGAATTGCCGTTTTCAACACTATCTCAGCCAATGAAAGATTTTTATTTTGTGGTTGTGGCAAGTTTTAGCCAAAGCTACTTTAGACAGTCGTCTTTTTCAGTCTTTAAAAATAGTGCTCTTGACGTTTTCTGTGGTCGGTCCCAGATTACGGAAAACCCATCAAATACTTGCTGTGTGAGCGCATCTACGTAAATAATTTGTTCGGTTCGTTAATTTGAGTTTTTAATTTGAGTTGAAATGCGATAGTATGAGAGAACTTTTTACTATAATAAAAAAATTAAATGTGACTATTTTTAAGAACTTTTTACTGTAATAAAACTCAAATTTTAAACTCGAATCAGTAAAAAAATAAAAAATATACAGCTGACACGTACGGATGTAATAATATGTATAAGGCCACGTTTATTTTTTCTTGGAAGAATCCAAGAAGGACTCCACTAGACTTTCCTTTCGTATGAAACGTGTAAGATTAGAATCATAATCAACCAATCAGCATAAACGGCCTCTGCTAAATGATCGATTATAGATAAGATCAAGTGTAAGTGTAAGATTTGAATCATAATCAACCAATCAGTATAAACGGCCTCTGCTAAATGATGGATTATAGATAAGATTAAGTCTATAAAGTGTAAACCTATAGCTTTTATATATCCGGTGTGAAAAAAATGTAACATAATATTTATTTAATGTAATATCTATGTTAAAAATGTCCGATATAGAGATATTTGATCATCTCTTATTATTATTCCACATTTTTAATATCTTTATTATGTTAAATAACTAAATTAATTAAGTATAACAATATATATTAATCAATGTGCTTAGTGTTGCATATTTTTAATGTTCATATTATGTTAAAAAACGTTCATATTTTTAATGTTGCGTTAGAGGAATCGTAAACAAAATTTATATATATTAAAATATTATATCATTTCATGTAATATATCTAGAGCTACCAAATCCTAACGGTTGAAAACAATTTTCAACATTCATTGTCATAAAAATCTTTGAATGCGTATTAACCAAAAAAAAAAAAAAATCTTGTTCCCATTCTTTCTATCTTGTTTTTTTTTTTTTTGTTGTCCATTTAATTATTTAATTTGTTGACCCAACTACTTTACTGGATATAGTTACTTTCATGAAAAGCTTAATCAATTAAAATGATGTTTCAGAAATTAATTAGATGGAAAAAAAAAAAAACAAAAACAGAAAAGATGTGATATATATGGACCAAATATCCAAGTTAATAGGTTCATTTAATTGGTCAAAGCTTGCCTATTGGAAATACTCTTCTATTCATACGCACATCGTTTTCGTCAGCAGACTTGACAATATGAGCTGTAAAGAGATTGAGTTGTATTTTCAAATGGGTTCTTAAAGAGGTTTTTTTTAAGTGTAATTTGAGTATAATTTTTGAGTTAAATTTGAATTATAATTTAAATTAAAATTATAATTTGAATACAATTAAATAAAGTTGAATAAAATTAAAATTTAAAAAAACGTGAATTTAAATAAAATTATAACTTAAATTTAAATTTTTTCTGAATTTTATTATAAAAGAACAACCCTATTCAATATACTAGCAATTTGAAATATCTGGCAACTAAACCATATATAGCTAACTAGAAAACTCTCTCTCTCTATCTATATATACATATATATATATATAACCCTAACAATATTGAAAAATAAAATCATAGTCCACGCATGTCCTTAAAAATAATAATATCAAATCTACTTTTGTCCCGTTTGTTCTACTGTTTAGCTCAATTTAATTCAGTTCAAACAGTAAGTATAATTTAAACTCATATTTAGTAAGTACGATATCTAAATTATAATCTCTGTTTGAATTCAGTTAAACTGTCTAAATTATAGTTTAATTTCTCCCTTTAGTTTAACCATTCAAAGCATTTTTAAATAGTAAAAAAGTGTTCACCTTCTTTATTTTTTATACTTACTAAATAAAAATTTAAATTTTATTCCATGTTCACTGTTCAGATTAGAGTTTTAACTACACATTCAAATGACAATTTAAACTCTAATTAAATCACATAATTTAAAATTTTCTATTCAAATAAAAAAGTTCAAATCAATAAAATTTAAACTAGCAACTTAAACAGAAACTTGAGTTGTTCCTTGGAAAAAAAAAAAAAAACAAAGAATAATACGAAAGAAGGAACACAAAAGTTCATTTTGAATTATGGCTTAGTTTAATTTGTAGATTTAAATTTTCAAATTAAATTGTGATGTGATTTTTTTTAGAGTTTTTAACTATAATAAAAAAAATTAAATGTGATATTTTTTAAAAAATTTTAATTATAAAAATTTAAAATTTAAAATTTAAATTGATAAAATAAATAAACTTATATATATTCAAGTTTTCAAGTAACCATGTACTTGAAAACTACCCAAAAAAAAAAGAAGAAAAGAAACAAGTGTACTTTTTTTTTTTTGGTGATTAAAGAAACTAGTGTACTTGAAAAATCTTACTGGCAGGGCTTAAGCAAAAAATGGTACTACTCTGGCATCACTGCTTTCGGATCTTATCGTTTCGGCTTTCGAGCCAATTAGTGTTTGTGTAATACGGGTGAACCGTATTACGTACAGTACTGGTAATTTTTGTTGTCTTAATTACAGTACTGGTAATTTAATCGGATGATTATTCATTCCATTCCATTCTTGAAGATAAAATTAACCTGTAATTATATTATATTATAAAATAGAAATGGCTAGAAAATAATTAATTTCGACGACTACCTAATAGAATTCCAATATTGTAAATACGTATATGTATATATATAAATTTAGCATTATTATTATGATAATGCATGACGTGTATATATATATATATAAACTAGTCCAAGTTTCACGCCAGATCATCCAAATAGTAATGAAGTTCACATATAAGAAGTTGTTACGTTCACATAAGATGAAAGTCCATTTTTTCAACCAAAAAAAAAGAAAAAGAAAGAAGAACCAAGAAAGTCCATTTCTTAATTCCGGGGAAGATACATATTTCTTTTGTCGCCAAATAAAAGAATATATCTGAGGTTGTTAAGGCCGAAATTCATACAGTGTCAACAAACAATTCTTAAGACTTGTATAATGATCAGCACTGTGAAATGGTCAAAGATAAACCATGTAGGCCCAATATAGATTAAAGATATAGAACAACCGGTCCCTCCAAAACGACACCATCTCTCTCTCTCTCTCTCTCTCTCTCTCTCTCTCTCTCTATAGTAGAATCTTATAAGTGATGTAATTCTGCTTTCGCCTTTGTGGGTTCCTATCCATTCTCTCGATAAAAGGCAAATAAATGCCTGCAACAAAAGCGAATTTCAGACCAACGAATTTGAATTAAAAATAGTATATATTATTTTTGTGAAAGTAGAATAATAGTATAGTTTTCTGTTGGTGAGTATTAGGGCTGCAGGGCTAGTGTCCAAAAGAGAATAATAATATGGATAAGCAGCCCAACCCTAGCTCATCGTCATCAAGAACTGACAGGAAAACCATTGAGAGAAACAGGAGAAATCAAATGAAGGTCCTTTACTCCAAGCTCAATTCTCTCGTACCCCATCAAACCTCTTCAAAGGTCATTATTACTCTCTCTCTCTCTCTTCTTTTTCTCTCTTTGAAATTGTGAGGCAAAATGCTTATGATTTTTTTTTTTGGGGTTATTAATTTAGGAAGTGATATCACTGCCGGATCAGCTAGATGAGGCCGCAACCTACATAAAGAAGCTACAAGTGAGCTTGGAGAAGATGAAGGAGAAGAAAAACAGCTTAAAGGGGATAGAAAAGAGTACTGGTAATTATTTTAATAATGATGTTGGTATGGGAAGCCAAAAATGGCCTCAAATTGAGGTTCATGAAAAAGGGCCGGCTTTGGAGGTTGTTCTGATTACTGGGTTGGATTGCCAATTCATGTTTAACGAAACGATTCGCGTTCTTCACGAAGAAGGAGCCGACATTGTCAATGCCAGTTTCTCAGTTGTCAATGAAGATACAGTTTACCACACCATACACTGCAAAGTAAGTTAATTAATAATCATTAGCATAAGTTAATTAATAATCATTAGCATATTTATAAATGATCAAGTTTTTAATTAGTCTTCTTTGGTGTTTAATAATTAGATTGGAGAGCTCGATCCAAGTTCTGGGGCTGCAAAGATATCTGAGAGGCTAAAGAAGTTTGTGGATGAAACAAATGCTTCTTGATCAAGATATCAGCATGATATATAATGATGATTATGATCGCTGCTTGTGATGAGTAAAGGAAATGTAATGTGTGGGACTAAGTTTGGCTTCCTATTTTTGTAAGTCTTTTTAGTAGGTCTATCTGGATTAAGCGAGTCCATACGTTCTTAATTATTTACCAATTTTGAGAGCCTTCTTGTATTTCCAGAAATATTGGCTCTATATATAATGATAATGATTAATGAAGCTGGCTAGCTTTAGTAGAGCTATGTTTCACTATTATCGTGTGTATCATATGTATATCGAACAATTATTAGCAAATAATATTATGATCTCTTTGATCAAATGGAAATTATGTGACTTGGTTATGAAAGATGACATACATGTTCTCTGTTGAATATGGTTGCTGCTCTCCCTAAAGTCTGCATATTCTTTTTTTTTTTAATTGAGAGTTTGAGCCTGATCACACACACACACACACATATCTATATATTCTAGTTGTAGATGCTAATTAGCTGGCTACATTTATTAATATGGGTGTGTATAGATATATCATGCGCAAGATCAAGTGTGTCTGTGTCCGTTATCTAATTGTGATCAAGTTGCATATGTTGAGAATCGATCAATTTCACAAACAAGTAGGAAAGTTGCTATGGATATCTCTAGGATATCTGAATAATTTTTGGATTAATCAACGTGACTTTGGATTTTTCAGTTTGTTGATTCAACGTGACTTAATTTCATGATCGGCTAGTACTACTAAAGGCAAATATATTAATGTCTTCCTGTATGTAGATCATCATAAATGAAACCTCTATTATATTTATAATTGATTGGATGTAGAAAGTGTAAGAAAAATAAAAACCAAGCTGTTAGTTAATCTTTAATTGAACTTGTTTAATATTATAGCCCCATAAAATCTTCTGCACAAACTTATATTTCTTGCCATGCATGGTTTGTAGCGAGATTTGTTCAGAATTTGATGATATACATGTCCATATGAGCTAGACATCATGACTGTTGTTTAAACCAAATCTAGATAATTTGTAACTGCCGTTACCAACTTGGTTAGAGTTTAGATGAATAAAGAGGGTCATGTCTCTCCCTCACTATATGTATACATGAATATTATATATGTGAGTGTGATTATAAGTACATATGTGTGAACTTAGGCACAGTATCATGTGTGTATATATATATATATATATATGTATGAATACTGACAAATGCAAATTCATTAAGTTCTAATGTAGTCATAAAAACTAAGAGAACGTATGCATGATTTAGGCAGGTAAATATGGAAAACTTATCTGTTCTTAGTAAATGGATCAGAACTCGACAAGATCATATTTGTTAAATAGTTCATTTAATATTATTATTTGTTTTGTTATTTATCTTTATTCAATGGGTAGAATAGTCTTTTACTTATTTACTTGCAGGCCTATATAAACCTTCTTTTCTGATGTATTTTAATTAAACAATTCAATAAGAAACCCTATTATTCTTTTTCTCCGTTCGATTCTTAGAATTCACAATATCATCATGAAATGAAAGTACACCTATATCTATTTGTGTGTGTGTGTGTGTGTGTCTACATATGTATATTCAAGTGAGGCCACTGTAAAGTATTAGCCAAAAAAAAAAAAAAAAAGAAGGAAAGGAGAATTAAAGTACTCCGAAGATAAGCACAGCAAGAGCAGGTACGGAAGCAGGCTTTAATTTTTTCCTATGCAATATTGGCTTGGATATTGTGTGTATATATATTGAACATACATCTTGTGAAATGGTAATTGGCACTTTCGTTTATATTTTTTTCTGTTATAATAATTGCTGCACCAAACAATATGGATGCTATGTATGCATGGGTGAGGACAAGATTGATATGTAATTAGTTGTTGAATTACAGACTAAACTAAATAAATGTACTAATAATATTCAAGGATTTGCTTGAACACTAGAAGATTTGGAGATGGAAAAGCTATGGTAAATGATCTCCATGTCCACTAAAACCGCACCCTACAGTTGAGACTTCTGAAAAGAGAAATTTTGATTCCTATGTGTTGGAAAAGCTAAAGCAAATTAAGCAATATCTGACATATTGGAAAAGTACTTCAAAACCATTTTTTTTTTTAATAGGAGAAACTAAAAACAATAAGATCAAAGAATGAGAAGGAAAACTTATTAGTTGAGGCTATAATTAAATGGGTCAGGTAGAAGAGTATGATTCACTTATTGTTACTTTTAAGATTACCGTAAAACAATCGAAACCGTTAAATAAAGTGCAACGTCGCTAGATCGAATACTATTGCCATAATCCTATGTAGTAATCAATGTTGCATTTGATATTGAACGTTCACATACCTCTATTATCAGTTCTTGAGTTATATATATATATATATATATATATATATATTTACTTTATTTTCACCAAATTATGTCAAGCACAATCAAATCTTCATAAGAAAGTCATAATTGTTTTCATTCTCATGTCATAATTATTATAATTTAGTATCATATTATCAATCTTACCTAACAAATTGCTAATGTTTGTTACACAACAAATTAAACGTTATTTGTTATAGAAACTACCGTAAAATACCGCAATTAACACTGAGTAATTAAGTGAGTCAAAGCCTGTTTAAAAATATAGTTTAAGATCATAACTGGATAATCTTGTGCACCCGGGGCATATATGGTCCAAAGAGTAATTAACACTGCGCACTATATATAAAGAAATCAGCTTGCTTATAAACTTTAGCTAGCTACTAAGCAAAACGACAAACGAAATTGTCACAATTATATGTGAGATACAGATAGCTAAATAAAACACGTTTACTAGTTACAAATTACTCAATACATAATTACAGTTTGTGAAACTAATTAGTTTTTCCCTTGAGGCAGAAAAAGAATATTGTGTCTAATAAAGTGATAGTCATGTGATTAATAGGGATTAGTAAGTGATGCCATTGTCACTAATACTAATTATACTCGCTTCCCAAAAAAGAAAAACAGCAACATTCAATAAGAGTTAATATTCAACAAGTCAGAGGTTATATATATATTTTTTTTTCCAAACACATATTAAAGAGCTTTTAGTGGAATTTTCTTGTAGACTTCCAGTCGATTAATTAGCGGCCGATTTATATATATTTGAGATGGTCAGTTCCAATAAAAACGCACGCAATCTTGTATATTTGAATTTCTTTCTTCTATTATTTTTTTGAAAGCGAAATAATAGTTGAATTTCAAATCAAGGTTATACGAAGCCACCATTATAGTCAGGTGTGGTCGCAACCTCGCCGAGCCGACGACATCAATCGGGAGTCTTCACTGTGAAATAGTTGGTGGCTGTAAGAACTTCAGCTAATCTGGGTAATGGAAATTCTTTAAAACTGAGGCTTGGTGAAAGTTCATTCAAAACATTTGAGTCTTGAAGAATTTTACAGAAATCAAAGGATATTGGGTCTAACTCAACCTAACAAAACCGACTTATTAAGAGAGGATTACTCTCACCTTATTAAGTGGATCATGCCAATATCTTCAACGAATGTGGGATTCTAATAATTTTATCTTATCTTGAAAAAGAAATGGGCGGAACGAAATTCTAAAATTCTGAAAATATGTGAGAAATTAACACTTCCACTAATCACTCTATACACAGCTTTTCATCACATGCCCAAAACATGAATTGGTGGAGCTTTTGTTAAAGCAAAAGCACGTACTGTCTCAAGTTTTGTTGATTATTTTTATAAATACAAACATATACATGGTTCTACACAAATAATAATAATAATAATAATAATAATAATAAACTGTGTACAGAATTGGATTATTAATATATAAGGTAGATTGATATTTCTTTACCGTACAAGAGGTGTTCTAATTTTTAAATTTTAATTTCGTTAACCTAACAATTAAGGAAAGTGTTTTAAAGTTTCATGATAAACAATTTTCCTAAATTCACATTTCAGCCTGGCAAGTAAACCCTATCTTTGTCTTTTGGAGAACAAAACATTAACTTCATGGCCAATGACAAAAGGTTCAACGAAAATTGCTGTGGAAATTTTGAAATTTAAATATCTTTTGAGTTTTAGACAGCTAGCAAAAGGAAAGAAACGGATCAAGGACTGTGAGAGTACAGTAGCAGTTTCTTTTCCAGATTATGGGAAATTTCGGTGAAATAGCGGAAAAAAAAAACACACACACACACACACACACACAAAAACACCTTTTATTTTTAAACAAATTTAAATGAATAATAGTCCTATTGTAATTGCTTTTGAAATAGTAAATTTAGAACTCTAATTAGCTCGTTTGAGCATATATTTGGGTATTTAACTATTTATCAAGGATACTGATCATCTTAATATGAAATTCATATATATTAATCCTGAACCAGGACAATTCCTCCAATAAGCTTGCTCCTCATAATTCATATATATTAATATGAAATTCCATTATCCTGATCATCTTGATCCTAGCATACCACAACAATCTTTTTTTCTTTTTTAGTATGGGGTCTATGGGACGTTTTTTCTAAAATTCTTGAAAGAAATCTAGATTGAACCTGGGACATATAAACCTTAAAACCTTCACTCACTGACAATTTCATTGAACAATATAGAAATAACAGAGTTTTTCATTCATATATATAATAGAAATAGAGCAAGAAATCTATATGTGGCATGTTTGCAAATATATTGGGTGCTGGAATCTCAACCCTATTTAAGGCTCATTAGGCTTCCTTTTAATAGATTCTATTTAAAATGAGGCTTAATAATATGCATATTGTTCTTTTTAAGGAATAATATGCATATTGTTTTAAACTATATGCATAAATACCAATAATATGTGTACAGTTTTAAGCAACAAAAAAGTTTAAATTGACGTATTTTTTGAAATATCTTTCATATCTTAAAATGTCGTAAAAAGTATTAAAAATTTATATAAGCATTTTCCCACACACACACACACACACATATGAATTTTTAATAATTACATCTCCATCGATGGTCACACATTAAATATAACAATTTGATAATGTGATGTGATAAGAATCTAATTTCATGAATTGTAATAAATTTTTTTGTTATCTACCCAATCTTACGGTTAAAACAATGATACACATCAATAAATAAAAATTAGAGTAACTATCAATACCATACCCATACTCACGCTGGTGTTTCTTTTTTCAAAATCTCGTTCAATTTCAAATACCAAGGTATATATATAGGTAGACACACTAATATCTTCTTTTTTTTTTTTTTGGCTAAACATTTTCCTTGTCCAAAGTCATTGCCCAAGCAGGACAAATTAATGACATAAAAG